GTCAGACTAAACTGTGGGGGATCTTGGAGCAGCAGGAGGCCCTAGAAGTACGCCAGTGTGTGGGCATGCCTGTCTCGTACCATCTCCTGCCCCTCAGCCTCAATGGGGTTAAAGGGGGGAGGTGGGCCTTGTCAGTCTTCCGGCAATAAATTATATAAATGGAAATGCTGGGGGGAATGGTACTGCCCCGCCCACCTAACAAATGAGGCGGGGTGTGGGAGGGCGACTGTTGGGGCAGTGGATGGAAAAAGGAGTTACTAGTCCTGCCTGTGCCCTGAGAGGTGCCAACCAAATGTGAGGCTTATAGGGCATAGCCCAAGGGAATCCCACGTGCAGACAAGCTGGCTACGAGATGTCTGTTGGTTCCCATGGCTCGGGGGATGATCTCATTAATGAGAAGTCTCTTTTTCCTGGACTTTGCTAGATCCCAGAAATTGAGGATTTCTGTCCCCTGTATCAGCACTCCAACCCGCATCATGGACATGATATAGAGATACAGGTACTATGGCCAAGGAGGTTGACCACATTCTTATCAGCACTTGCTGGAGGATCCTCCAGAACAGCAGGATTTACCGGAGTGCTGACTTCTGTGGCACTGACCCTATCGGTCCATTTCTAAACTCCCCATCTCTCCAGTGCTACTCCAGGGTGTTTCACTTGGGCAGATTGAGGGATGAGTGTACCCATAGGTTCACCACAGCAGCCTCTGATCGGTTCACAGAACTCGAAAACCTGACAGACCCAGTAGCTCTGCGAGAGTCCTTTAAACGTGAAACACCACTGGCGAACGCCCAAGGGCAAGGCAAAATTTCATCTCACTGGAAACAGTGGTGGCTAAAGGTGCATGTCGCATGGCTCAACTGAATGGCAATCAGAATTTGCACCATTCCTTGGTTTACAGTGCTCATACCCTTCTGAGAAGGGACAAGGAATAGTTCATCAGGAATCTGGCTGAGGAGGTTGAAGACCATTTCTTAGTAAATGACCTTCGCACTACCTACCAAGCCCTGAGAAAACTGAACTACAAGCCCTTCTTGCTGGTGACTGCAATCCACTCAGATCATCTAAGACCAATGAGCTGAGCATTTTGAGCAGCTGTACCAGGCAGACCCTCCAGCACTTAGTCTGGACACAAGTGGTGTCAATACCTGTGCTGGACCTACCCATCAGCAAATGACCACATACCTAGAGATTTGGGATGTGATCTCTAAGCTAAAGGGTGAAAAGCTGCAGGCATATGTGATATCCCTGCTCAACTGCTAGTAGCTGTGGGTAAACCTATGGCATGAGACTTACATACGGTCTTGACTGTCTTCTAGCAATTTGGTTCCATCCCCCCTTACCTATTGAGGGCCTGATCATCCCTCTCTAGAAGGGGAAAGGTGATCAATGGACTGTACTGTGACATCACTTTGCTTAATATACAACATATGGTTTTCACCCAAATTCTTCTGAAACGGATCTATGACCACTTACTAAGGCACCAGAGACCGGAGCATTCTGAATTCACTCGGGGTAAGTCTATAATAAACTGCATCCTAGCACTTTGAGTCATTGTGGAACGCCGTCGTAGGCTGTTTGCAGCCGACATCGAAATCAAGTAGGTGTTGGACTCGATACATCGTGAACCTCTGTGGGAGTTCCTGAGACATATGGGAATTCTGATACCAATTATTGGTTTAATAGCAAGCCTATATACTGGTATTGTAAGTGCTGTAAAGGTGGTTGGGCATGTAGTGCTTCTTTTCTGTTAACTCAGGGGTGAGCAAGGATGTGTAGTTCCTTTAACACTTTTAAATACTTGACTGAACTAGATAATGGGCAGAACTCCTATACAAGATCACTGTGGAGCAACACTGGACAATATGAAGGTCACCAAATTCGACTTTGCCGACGATGTTGCTATCCTGTCTGAGTCTCTGGAATCACTGGTGGCGGCTCTTGATGCATTTAGCAATGGTTCTAGATGTCTCCTGGACCAAGCCCAAGATTCGGGATTTTGGAGGCCTGTTTGGGGAACATGTTCCGTCGATACATGCTTGCGGCGATGATACTAAAGTCGCAAAGAGCTTAACATACCTTGGGAGTGTAGTCCATGTCTCTGGGCTGTCAGACCAGGAAGTCAGTAGACGGATAAGTCTGGCAGCAGGAGCCATGGACTCGATCAAGAAGAGCATTTAGAGATGTCGGTATGTGTCTTTAAGGCCTTTAAACTACCAGTTATACTCTACGGGAAGCGAAACCTGGATGCTATCTAGTGCTTTGGGTAGGTTGGAGTCACTCTGATCTATTCCGGCGTGCGTTAAAACTTTGAACATTTTTAAGCAGTGATAGCATCCCAACCCCCAGCACTAACTTCCCTCATAATTCAGGTGGCATTCACAAGAGACTATTGACATTACACTACCCTTGATATTGATGTTCGCCCGTTCCGCTACCTCGGGCAGCGTCTGTGTATTAAAATACAGAAGAAATACCCTAATACCACTATGACTTTCCTGGTACTGCTCTAACAGTTACAAGGACTAACGCCACAGATTCGGTATTTCTCGAGTTATGCTACAGCCTGCCCTTCCCTGTCAGGATTGCATGGATGACAACTCTCGAAATTGTGTGCTCTATGCATCGAACTGTCACCTCATAATTGAGTATGTCAGTCTGTATCATTCTCCAACTATAATTAATAAGTGACCGCCCCCTGGAATTGAATAAAATGAAATGTAAGAAAGGAACTTAGAATTAGAGTATCTGCCTATGTCATACAGTAATAAAGACCCAGATGCAGTGGGTGTCCTCAGACTTATTAATTTTATGTTTTACCTTTTTGACATGTACCCTGCTGCTTTTATGTTTATGATCGCAATTCTGACCGCACTCAATATTAAATCTGGTATGACAGATGCAATCGCCAGGATCAATGAATCCAGGCATTATTAATGCATATTCCACAAAATGAATATGACTGTTCGTCCATCATTTATTAATCGTCTCGTGATACGTTCCCTCTCCAGTCTAATGGTTAATGCTTTAAGTAAATAAATGTGTTAGACATCAAAAGTCATTCAGATGAAAGAGGTTTAAATGGGGTCGTTATTAGAACAAAATGCCTTATATTTCAACGGTCAAGGTAGTATGTATAGTAGTATAAGTATGTATAGTAATATAAGACAGTATGGTAGTGAAAGGGGTAGAAAGAGAGGGCGTAAATGGGGTAGGATAGGGAATGATAGAGGGGGAAAGATTAAGGGCAAAGGGTGATTAGATCAAATGAAGGGTATTTATGCGTCTGAGGAAGGAGAATGGGCTGTCAGTTGAAAAGTTAGAGAACTCCGTGAGGATATCCGACAGGTTGGGGTTGGGGAAGAGAGGACAAGTTAGGAAAAGCCAGGTGGGTTTGGAGCGTGACATGAGGTATGAATGGTTAAAACAAATTAATGTGCTAGATATCAAAGGTCATATAGTTCTATGGTAAAATATTGTGGCAGAAAGGGTAAAAATAAATTAATGATTAAGATAATTGGACAGAAGAGGAAAGAAGAGAGGAAAAGACCACTCAAAATTAGTTGAGGCGATGAAGTTCAAGGTAGGAGTGACCCCCAACATTGGCCCTAAGTCTCCATCTCCTAAGCTTCCACAACAACGAGCAAGAGATTGGGGGGGGGGGGGGTGAGGTATGAATCTTGGGGCTGTTCATGCCCATTTCCTATTCGGAAATTTCCTTCATTTCCTATTCGGAAAGAGCTGTTTCCCAGCGTCTGTTCTGGTGGTATGGTGCCGACCAAGCGATACGATTGAGATTTGCGAAGTTCTAGCTTCGCCCGGGCCTTCTATATATGGCCGGGTCTGTGTCGGCTTTTGAGAGATGAAAGGTTTTATGGTTTGTAGTTTATTGATGGTCAGACTTTACCAGAAAGATTACTAATGCTTATAGGGGAAAGCCTCTTCAGTCTAGTTGCCGCAAACTGCTTTTAAAGTAAATTGTAGTCAATTACGTAATACAAAGTAAGTGTATTAAACATGTTCAAAGACTTTTAACTATTGTATTGCGGAGAATAACAGTGGCCTTGCATACATTCCTAGTTCTTTTTTGAGAGTTCCCCAAAGCAGTTACAAGAAGTTCATCAGTATAAGTGTCTTATGTGTAGTAAGACAATGACATCAGCATCGCTCGTTTAAAAGATAGTACCAATAATTTTTAAATATTTAAACCGTTTCCTTCGAGTGTCATCAATTAATCAATTTACCCACAAGCATTTAAAATTCAACCCGAAAAAGGACCAGACTTGTATTCTGACCTTTTATATATATATATATATATATATATATATATATATATATATATATATATATATATATATATATATATATATATATAATGATATTTCTTGATGCCTTGTGCGAATCCAATCTAAAATGTCTTCCAAGAGTTCTAGTCCTGAACAGTAGCCAGCCTATTTGTGGGTCTCCGTGCTCTTGCTCTCTCCTTGCTTACACCTCCTCTTGTTTCTTTCCTTATCGTCTTATTGTCTGTTTTATGTGTTATCTATATTTACTTATTGTCTGTTTTATGTGTTATCTATATTTACCTATTGTCTGTTTTATGTGTTATCTATATTTACTTATTGTCTGTTTTATGTGTTATCTATATTTACTTATTGTCTGTTTTATGTGTTATCTATATTTACTTATTGTCTGTTTTATGTGTTATCTATATTTACTTATTGTCTGTTTTATGTGTTATCTATATTTACTTATTGTCTGTTTTATGTGCTATCTATATTTACTTATTCACCATAATCAGTAATGTTATCAATCCATGTGAATACATTTGCATTATCTAAAAGATCTATGCTCTTTTTTTTCTTGGTAAACAGATTAGCCTCCACTGTTTTTATAAGTGCATGTTAAAATTAAGAGAAAGCCAATTTCTTTATTGTAGGACTGAATAACTCAGGAATATTCATCAACAATTGCTAATGATGAAAAGGAAAAAATGCTAG